TGACAAAAATACATTTTTCTTAAACATGAAGCCTACAACCCCCCCATCCTACCATTTATTCTTACAGAAAAAAGTTTGCTTATCATGCAGTTTTACTTTTTTCAGTTTCAGTAGAAACTAGGACATGCATTGTACTTGAACTTTTTTTAACGTAGCATTATAGACATTTTGTAAAGAATTTATCTTTTAAACTAGTTATTTTAACTTTTAGCCTAGTTAAGACCTCTTTTAAGTATTGTTATTTTTTATTGCTGCTAGAACATAGGATAATTTTCTTAATCTTTTCAGTTTTAGGTTCAACCGGTATAAGCTACCAATGCTTCTTGTCCATAGCATAATGTGATGTCTCTAATAAGAAATTTTTAATAGCAGATAACTTCAGAAATATTTCAGAACTGGCTTGTTAAGAAGATCCAAGTATAGAGCTGAGGGTGTAGCTCAGTAGTAGAACACTTGCCTAACAGACATAAGGTCCTGAGTTCAATCCCCAGTACCACCCCCATTCTCCCCAAAAAAGGTGTTTGTAGACAAGAAGATCCAAGTATATCTCTAGTTTCAAATTTTCTGAACAATCAAATATATTTGGAGAAATGTTAATATTTGTAATTGATTGATTAGATGACATGGCAAAGCACTGAAATTTTATTTGAATTACCCATTGTTTATGTGGTTTGTTTTAGTAACTCTTCATTAGAAAGTACACTATTCCAAGATGTAATATACCTATATGTATCAGTTCCCCGCAGTGGATGTAGTAGTATCTCAAACATGAACAAGAAAGAAAAGTACTCTGTTGCCTGTCAATATTTGAAAAGCACCTAGCCATCACAGATTTTTTTTGCCCTTTTAAAGTTTTAAGTATCTAGAACAAAGCTGTGCCAGTTGGTAAAATTTAATAATATAGAAAGAAACCCTGGGGACTAATTTTCGTTATTAAGGTAGTTAATCTTGTTACTGTCCTTAGTTGTGAGTATACGTTTCTGGACAGTGTTAAAATATTAGTACTGCTTTAAATTTTCTTGAAATACTACACTCTTGGTAGTTTTGAAACACTAACATCTCTCTTCCATTTTATTATATTCAGCAATATGTTGTATCTTTTTCTTAGTAGATGATATATA